GAAAATACTTCCATTTGTTTCCTCAAATGACACCACAAAAAAACTTTTTCACCTCACTAGCTCGGAAAGGTTTTCTTTCTCATTAGAAATCTGCGCGCAAAAGCGTTTCTTGCACGCTAGCGTGGAAAAGACTTTTGAAATTCGAACTTGACGATGGACTGTCGTGCACTTAACTTTTTCTTTCGATGAAAAAAAAATATAATGACACGTTCAACTACGCGATTTGTCGTACATTATCTAAGTGATATAAATCCATTGATATTTTTTATTCTTATTATTGTTGACATTAAATTGACAATGATAACTAATTGTGGTTATTAAATTATTTTAATTCTTCAAAGAACTAAAATAATTTCAATAATCACTTAATCGCACAAAATTATAAGTGCAAGCAAGAATAATAATGGATGAGATGCAAATTCGGTCGTATCCGAAAGTAAACTTTTTCTATTGAATAAAAAAAAACTGATATTTTACATATCGAGTTCTTAGGTTTTCGCGATTGTTACACATAGGAAATGAAACTATTTTTCCGGATTAAAATCGCGTAAACAAGTCTGCAGTCTGCGAGCATGTCATGGATAAACCTACACATTCAATGAAGTTTGACAAACCCCAGGTCCTTGCAAAAGAAGTCCGTTATCTGCCCAGGATGCTGCGAGAGGCCATTGAAATTAAAAAACATCCTAATTTCAACAGGGAAGATGGTTTCTCCGTACCACCAGTTTGGGATCCAGTATTTCCTCTAATGAAAAATCCCAAACAGACATAAGACTGCAGTACTAATTAATATGTTTTAGTTTATTCTAATTACAATTAATAATTAATAATAAATGAAACTTAATAAAAATTCATTCAATAAAATAATTTGTAAAACTTAATGTAGCGTAAATTGGAATGTTTTCTTTGTAGAATTAAAAAAAAGGTATTTATATTCATTAATATTAGACATAACTGGTTGAAGACTGTACCACCTCAGTCAACCGTGACCATGGGACTTGTAAAGGGCCCGAAACGTCGGTTTGTTTGAAAAAACAAATTTACGCGATTTAAATCCGGAAAAATAGTTTCATTTCCTATGATATTTTACAGTTCAACTGTTTTTTTTTTTCATCCACCATTTTCCTCGCTATAGTGAGGTGAAAAGTTGTGTATCTCGCTCGGCAGCAAAGTTGTTTTACGTTTCGTGTCTTGAAACCCTCACTACGCTTAGGAATCTATTTTTGCTTCCTGCGCTTGCTCAGCTTTGCAGCCTTGCATAACAAGTAAATATTTTATTTTTTATTATTATAAGGCGCAGAAGGGCCTTCATCAGAATTGCTCATTGTCTTAGCTGGGCGTGGTAAATAAAACAATTCAACAGCCACTCAGTCACTAATTATTTAATTTATGGTGTTTTAATTAAACAATGAAATCAGTTCGTTACTATTTTACCAAAATTATCACGAAACAGAAATCAACATTAATTTATGCGAACGGACACCGATCGCGTGGAACTACAGCGATTCGTCGCAGCCCCGGCCATCTTAACGGAATGACCATTAAGATAGCCGTCCAGCTGCCATCGGTAAACGAGCGTTTCGCCATAGTGACTTTCAACTTAAATCACTTTTGTCCGCATAGAGGGCGCCACGATCATGTTTTAATGCAATATAATGAAACATAAACTATATCGTTTTCTCGTACATATCGTAAATTCGTCGGCGCTGGTCTGCGCTTGTATCTTTTCAGGTAGGTACGTATGTTATGACTTTGTCTGTTTATCTATGCTGGCTCGGTCGTGTTAATGGTGTGTGTGGTACGGTGAGGATGATGCGCGGGGAATGAGTGGACATTTTTTGTTTGTATTTGTATGAGACTGTAATGAAGCTGGTTAATAAATAGTGTGTTCTTTACGTGTAAAGGAAACAATAAATATGTAATATAATAACAATGAATGTGGAGGTACATATTAACATAACAAAACACAAGAAAAATAAAACATAGTGAAAACATTGAAACGTAAAAAAATAATGATTACCATATTGTAAATAAAAAAACATTACGCATAAAGGAAACAATAAATATATAATGTAATGAATATGGAGGTACTTATATATGAACAAAACAAAACAGAAAAAACACAAAACGCAAAAAAAACAACAAATATAAATAAGTAACAAAAAAAAAATTAAAACACAAACTATTCACAAGTATAAAGATACAAAGTATAAAGATACTTTGTGTGGTGCCAGCTGCGGTAACAAAAGGGTCATTAACTCAGTATTTGCTGGAAAACTCGCTCCCACCACTGATTTTCAGTGCGATGTTAAAACAAATGGTTTACTTCTAAATCTGTCAGGTTTATCGAAATAGATGTTCAGATATTATTACCCTCTCCAAAAACATTTCGATATTATGCGTTTGTTATCGTTGAAGAATATCATTTCAATGCTTACATCTTCTTATCACAAACCACTACTCTGCCATAGAGAGATAAACTTGTAGATAGTGCACACGGCAAGTGTAGTTTGAACATTGCTGGGTAATTAACAAATTAATATTCTACAAATTGTGACCCTCACAGTCACAATGTAACATGCTACAGTTTGTCTTATTGACATTTACTCATTTACTAGTAACTTTTTTGTCACTCAAATCCTCGTCATCTTGTTTTAGTCCTATATCCGATATCTTTTCATGAACATGTGCTGCACGTCCATGCCGTCCTGGCCTTCTTTGTTTGATTACTTCTTATTTCCACTCTAATACATTATCAAACTCTGGTTGAATTACAACTTCACCAGTATTGGGATCAACGAAGAGACCACGGTAATGAATACAAGGAAAGCGGAGCTAACATATGAGGTTTCTTTTCTTTTTAAATAAAAAGTTATAATTATAATTAGCAACAACGATGAAACTTACTGTTAAATTTCTTTTTCCAAAGACGTTATCAAGAAATGCAAAAGATTAAGCTGCAATCACATAAAGCAATATATAAGTACATAAGTAGAAAAATCTGAGCTAAGTGATGGTTGCAATTCATCACAGTCTCGCGGGCAGCTGCTCGAATCAATCTCCAGTTTCGACGTTGCTCGCAGTGCCTCGAGTTGCGACTGTGGAAATCCGATTTATCTGAATTATTGAAAAAGTTCTTGAAAAGAAAAGGGTTAAATGCGTTATTGAAGACAAATTGGGCGTACGAGAAATATAAACTGATGATACACGGAAGAGTGTCTTGGGGTTACCACTTTCTAGTTGAGGTTCTAGTTGACTTATTTCAATTTCATTTCTCGTCGCCTCGTACGGGGAGAAGGCGAAGGCAGTTCGCTGTTCGCCTGATCCCCTAGTGAGGCCAGCGGGCTCTGGACAGGGGCTCCGGAGCCTGCTTTGCACGGACTCACTCGTCTGGGGGGCGGGTCGGAGGACAACCGACCCGTTGGAGCGGGAGTCCTGGCGCAAGCTAGGGCGGCTGGGCGGCGTCGTGGTGAATGTTCACCGACTCCACGGCGCCGACTCAACCGGCGAGAGGTAAACCCGGGGGGATTTTAGTGGAGTAAGCCCTCCAATCTGGAGAGACAGTCCCCACATAACCCCTGAGTCTCCCTGAGTCATAGATATCGGTAAAGATTCCCCCTCCCCGTCAAAAAAAGGCCTCGTCGCCTCCTCAACACGCTTCAGTGCTTTCGTACACGCTCTTCAGTCAGGGTACTCTTGACCTGGACCTCCATTAGGATGATTAACAATTATTATAAAGATCGAACACAAAGAGAAATTCCTTCGATCTGACAGTTGCCCTAATTTGGAATTGAGGCTGCGTCTCTATGCCAAATTAGGGCAACACTAAAAACAAAAAATGAAAACTAAAGATCTGTAACAAAGATATAGACAAATTTGTAAGGTCTGCCGACCTGACTCGTAGCTCAATTAGTAGAGGAGTTGCCCCAACCATTCATTATAAAAAGCATTTCATTTCTATTTCATAATCATTCTCTCATAATGGAGACATCAACCCGTGACACTGATATAAAAATATCAATACGTAAGTGCTGTATTTAACAGAAGTTATTTCAATAAAGCAAGAAAATATGTATGGAAGACCTTGGGTTTTTTTTTATTCATGTTTGAAATCTGTGGCTACAGTCAATGCCCTAAAATATCTGACCCCCTAACCAACTACTTGGTTCTGAGTAGAGTGTAAAGACAAGTGTTGTATAATTTCTTTACAACACCATTATTGAATGACGTTTTAAGAAACTTTTAAGCCAACATGATCTTTAATTACATTATAAAAATTCAACCAAAAAGCTGGAATTCCTTTACTCAAAACTTAAAGGTCAACTGGAGGTCAGGAATTTTAGAGCATCGACTGTACAATTAAAATAATCGGAACGATGTGTAGGTATTGATGCAGCGAACAGGTTGCTCTATCTATACTATGCCAATACACCAACGTAACACATAAACTAAACTGTAAACACATCTTGAAATCTTTATTTAAGTATGTAAATTGCTCGTCTTGTATGTAGATTGTTCGACTTCGTGACCAGTAGGCATCTATTAATCATGTACATTAATGAACCTAATTGGTATCAAATTACAGCAGTCTGTCGGTTTTAAAAAGAGCATTTTGTAAATTTATCAAGTTTAAATTTATCGAGCTCCTAGGTGTTTTCCCTTATTTAAAGAAACAAACAAACGTTTCGGGTCCTATACAGTTCACATGATCAGTATGATTAAAAGACAAATACAAGCGATTATAATCCGAAAAAGACAAACAATTCGTGCACCTGGTAGTAAACGATATGCCTTCCATAATGGTTGCCATTGAGACTTAAATTGACAAGTCCCATATACCTGTAACTTCAAAAAAACCGAAACGTAGTTATGCTCACATTATTGCTTGACGCAGAAATAGATAAGGTGGCAGTACTTCCTTGGACGAACTCTTTCACAAGATTCTCTACTGCTACTTAATTTGTCTTTTGAGGTATTAAAGCTTTTTCTTTTGTTCACAGTGCATCTACGGGTGTTACGTTCATTCAGCCATCCTGCCGACGTTCCACAGAAGGTGCTATTGGCTACTACAGGTAATAGTTTGACTGCTATTACATAGAATTTTTATCATTCCGAGTTTTTGGGTTTCAATCTACAATTATTCTGGTAATCCGTCTGCAACTGTTGAAGGTTGGCCACCAATTTGTACCCTGGTATAATAACGCCACATTTTGACATTACGTCAAAAGGGCTTAGAATATGGAAGTCATAGAAATATCAGGCGCGACGTGAAAGAAATTGTGTATATGTCACATTATATAATTCTCCCTTTTGAGCTTATACACGTTAAAGAGTAATTTCGTTCGTAGCATCTTTAAATATCTTCGCTGAAAAGTTGCCAATTTGCATATTTATTTATTTATTTTATTTGAGACATCAACAGCTTATTAATACCATATCATAATTCGATGTCCAAAATGTAAACAACGAAATGTCATTGTCAAAGTGTGAACGCAGGTGTGCTAAACCTTCTATTTTTAATGGAATTAGAAAAGGAGGAGGTTCTCATTTTCTACAATTTCAATTATCTGTTACAAAATATGTACAATAAATAAAAACTTACACAACGTACAATAATTTAACAAAATCACTATGGAGAAAACTTTCGAATTCAAGAAACGAAACACAAATGTCATCTATGACACGACTAAATGGCGGCACAAAAAATGTTTTTGAATGCCATTAAAAAAATCACAAAGTGGCTTGCGGTACTGAATAAGTTGACCTAAGTAGGAATTATTGAAAACGATACGATACATGTACAAAACTACGAATACCTGAAAACTATCGAGTACAAAAGTATCGATACTTTTTCTGTGTCCCTAACTGTCACATTACTGATTTCTGCCGCCAAGCGAGCATTACTGCGTTCCACTCTGGAAGGGTAAGGATGCTGGTGAAATTGCAGACACATGGGACTTATCAACTTATGTCTCTGGGTGACGAACGCGTGGCAGTGTCCCTAAGATCTTTGCGATGTAAAACTCTGAGTGGCACTGTTACTGTTGTAGATAGGCGTGTCGTTTACCATTTTTATATCTTATAAACAACCCAGTTTTGCTTTCGAAGTGTAAAGGAATACCTACAGATACATTAGCAATAGAGGGATGAATAATGATTTCTATCCTAAGTTACCGGTAAAACGGTATCCCTGTTTTACTTAACGTGAGTTGCCAGCCATAGAATATTATGGTTTTCCACCTCGGGTCTGCCCCATTTTCCCTTGGCTACAGTAAATATCAGTAATTTTTTTTATTTGCAGTTTTTTAGAGAAGCCGTCAATTAAATCAAACAACTTTTAAAAGTCCCTTAAATTGCGAAAGATATTTATTCGGCTCTAAATCACACCCGTTCTTTTAAAGGGGCGTAATTGGAAAAAAAAATTAAGTAACTAATAATATATATTATTAGTATTGAATGTGTAGTGTATTTATTTGAAACTCCACCATTAGAAGACATTTTTTGGCTTCACCCCCTTTCCCACTCTTAATTTTTTTTGGTGCCTTTTCCAGTTGCCTGGAAGAAATTGCAACTTAGCAATAAGCCCACCTGTTGTATATGAGCTTATTCGGTAATTACATTGCTATAAAGATTTCATTATTTCATTCATTCATTCAAATTGTTAAAAAAAAACGTACGTCGCATCAGCCGTGTACATATTTGACTAGTGCCAATATATAATTCTAATTAATATTGAAAACGGTGTATTAATTTTATTTCATAAGTTATTTTTCTTAATTAATGCCGTCAGTTTCTCAAAAATGTTACTTTCCGAATTTCCCGAATTCTACTTGACCAAAATGTGGTATAATGTAACTAATATAATGTGTTGTATTGATTGGTTGAATTATTATATGATATCATAATATGAAAAATATCATCGTATTCATAGTGATTGTTGTAAAAGCAAACCAGGTAGTTCAAATATGGATGATAACGCAAGTATTAAGTCTGTACACAATTCACGTCTTCCAGGAACTCTGACTAATATAACAACCTCACCTGCCGTGGTTACAAGTAATATTTAAGTAAATTGCATTTCAGTAATTGTAAGAACTGACATAGGAAAACCAAATAAAATATTAACGCTTTAATTTCATTTAAGGCAGCTGCAGACAATAAACAACTATAGCATATTGCATCACTGACAGTTTAGGATTAAGTAAGTGGATGAATCTGCAAATAGAAATGTGGTTTCTGTATTTGGCTAATAACCGCTCACGCGATGCGCTCCTCCTACCGCAAAATGGCGGCTATTTGGTTTCGCAAATTAGAAAAGCATTCAGTTTAAATACAAGTTTTTATAAATAAAAATTATTATTCTGCATTGCTAAATAAATACCCTCCATACTACCAACAAAAACATCTCAAATAAAATGCAGTAATACACCGCAAATCCTGCACTTAAAAAGCGTTAACCATGAAATTACTCCTTAAAGTATAGTTTATAAACATTTATATTCAGGGTAAACTTAAAAAACGCTACTTACGGTATGTTTTCAATAAATAAACACCGAAATCACCAGCCCAAACAAAACACACACGATTGTCGTGACGTATTTTTGAAGTTGTTTATTTTTTTTAATGAAAAAATTGCATTGAAAACTTTATGGTTTGCTAGAGTAGTTACCGAAATAGCTATTAATATTAGTTCTTTTACCTGTTATAACTTCGATATCCGATAAATCGGTATAAAATCATCACCGGCACCTTTAGGTGTGGTATGCGTCTACGGCTGCATGTATCGCGTGAGCGGATAAATATGTGAAGATATAACAGTGATTAATGACAAGAAGGTTAATAATAGTGAAGTCAATAATAGTGTTACGGAATGATAATTTAAAGCTTTTTCAGTTTCAATCTTTCTTCTTAATCGCTTCCTCACTGCTGAGGATCGTGACTCCAGTTCATCCTTTTAACCATTTGCCTCTATTGGTTGCGCTCACTCGCATGATGTATTGCGGCGCTGACAGGTAGCTCCAGTTGTTCGGAGATCTGATCCGACCACCTTTTGGGACTCCTGCCCCTAGACCTCTTTCCCTCCACCTTCCCTTTACCATCAAAAGTTCCAGGTTATTAGCAAATGTGCTTGTGAGCAAAATAGCGTATCACAAGCTGCATGCAAGTTGAAGACAGACGCTGTGCATTCTTGATCTTGAGTTCCTCTTGAAATCAAACTGAAGTATATAGATGTAGATAATAAAAAATAATAAATCCTTTTCACGGTATTGACCGTTCGACTATTAAGATTGATAGAGTATCTGAAAAAAGTAAACTCAAAATATTAAAAAATCAATCATAAGACTGCCAACACCTTTGTAGTAAGCAAACTAATTATCGTCTTGAACGTTCACATTGCTTAGGAAATAAATAACGAAAACAACCGTCATAGCCAGCTGGGTAGCTTGATCCTTGTTCTCAAAGAGAAAGGAATCAAGACATTAAAAACACTTGTTAAAACAGAACAAAGCCAACGGAATGCCAACAAGGCAGATGAATTGGGGAAGTTAAGGCGGCACAAGCAGTCTTGGAAGAGTGCCCGAGGAAGATTAGCAACTAATAGATTACGATGTCTAAAGTAATAGGTAAGAATATCTTGTCAGAAGGTATAGTGAAATGGATTACGTCGGGTTCTATTTATTATTCTTTTAATTACAACGTTAAACTTAGTTAATTCAATTTTAAAGTCAGTCATTAGATTATTTATAAGTCATCCATTTTTATAAGCTGTTTACTATTGTTATATAATGATTGAAAATAAAACGCCCATTTTCTAAATTGTGTTTACTTCAGCTGACAGCCTCATGACAACATGAATAAATAAACCGATTTATTATAAATTTATTGTCCCAAAGAACTACGAAGGTAACCACGCCGGCTTTCGTAACAAATTTAATTACAACCTACAAGTTTCCGCAACATTTCCCAAAATACAAAATCGTTACGCTTAAATTCCCTAAGTTGCTGAAATTCCATTAATATTACAGTGTTTGCCGAGTCGAGAGAAAAATATTTCTCAAATATCTTTCTAAAACTTTTGATTTGCGATGTTATCAATTTCTTAAATATATGATACGCTGGTATTTTAAACTTTCTTACATTTTCTCGTAGGATTTGAAAAATCTCTGTAACATTTTGCGGATTCTATCAAGTTAAAAGAAGTTAAAAAGAGAAATCTTCCTTAGATTTTTCGCCTTGCTGATCCCGTTTAACCCTTAGCACGTCTTTCAAAAAAATAAATTGGTCATATCCATTTGCATTCATATTTTAAGCAAAATAGTATGATAGAACGTGACGACTTACTGTTTCTGCGATTGTGTGACATGTTGTTAAAATTTTGTGATAGATGGCATATATCACTGTTCCAGGATAAAATATTTTACACAATCGAGCGAAGATTTCACAACATCATTTATCATATTCTGAACACTTTTTCACGATATTGATTTTCAGCTCTAATTAAGTGATCGAGTGACCACCAGTGTATTTTTATTGTACTTATATAGAAACTACGTTTGAAGCGGGTAGGTGCAGGTAAATAAATCATTGGTGTGTGTACGGTAGTGAGTGACAGATGTAACACAAAATGCATGAAAATAGAGTCAATGCTGTAGAAATGATAGTTTTGTATGTGCAGCAGCAGTCCCATATCTTTTATTTATAGGCTCAACCTTATCAACCTCTTAGTTATGCGCGAGGGGCAGTATGACCTTTTTTTTGTGCGACGGAGCCTGCACAGGGACCATCTAAGCAGATCAGCCCGTTTGCACGGACTTCACCCGGTTCTCTGTAAGGTGCACGTATTTTCCAGACAGGTATCGGAGCTAAAGGCACTCACTTCCCGACGCCGAATGAACGTATTAAGTATTGTCTAAAGGGGACATAGGTAGATTTCTTTTAACACTTGATCAATTAAATTCATGTGAAATTGTACCATACAACAATAACTAAAAATTGTAAATTGCACAATACACGTGACATTTTATATACCATTCTATTTGACACCTGTTACACAGCGCACCGGTGCAGTGCA